CCCCAAAACCCCAAAACCCCAAAACCCCAAAACCCCAAATATAAAAGCCAGAATTGCTACGTTTTTATAATTAAAATTAAATTCAATGACCTTTTGGAGGCATTACAAAGCTTTATGAGTAAAGAACTTTTATCTGTACAAAAGAAATTGGAAGGGATCACTCTGTGAAATACTCCTTCCCTTGTTCATGATCCTGATGCTGCTAGCACTGAGATTTGCTATTTCGAAGGAGACTAAAGGGCCTGATAGCCTTCTGGATTCTGGTTATCTCTGGTATGACCAAGGCTCTACAACTGCTAACAAAGAGTTTGCAGACTATTCAATCTTTCCAAATGATACCACTTGGTTCAATTATTGCTTTGATAGAGACGATACTCCTGATAGAAACTACATTGCTCTGGCTCCTTCTGGAAATACTATCATCAATAATATCAAGGCAAGGCTTGAGGCTGATTTTGGAAGTACATACAATCTTACGGTGAAGCTCTATGCTTCAAGAGATGAAATCATCAACACCATCAAAAGCTCTACATATGAAAAAGATGATATTCCAGGAATCTGATTTGGTGCTGCTTTCACAGAGGCAACTGCTGACAAGGTCACAGTAAATATGATCTTTGATGATATGGTGAGTGATCGAAACGATGACCCTAATATGCCAAACCAAGACTTACCACCAGCTGATGATTTTCAAAGAGGTCCAAATGAAGATGCTTTTGGGCAATACAAGACTGGTGGGTACACATATCTCCAAAATATTATCGCAAATGAGATTCTGATGAATACAAGAGGAGCTGGAGCTTACATTTCGATGCTTTATACAGGGATGAAGACCAATGTCTACAACAAAGATGACTTTCCAGAGCAAGTTGCAGATTTATGGCCAATGGCAATGATGCTTCTATTTTTAGCACCAATGTACCGGCTATTGTTTAACTGCACTCAAGAAAAGGGCACAAAAATGAGAGAAGCAATGAAAGTAATGGGCTTAACAGATCTCCCATATTGGTGTTCCTGGCTGACTTACTATACCCTTATAAATACCATCTTGTGCTTGGGAATGATGCTACTCTTAATCCCAGTCACTGAATATTCGAACAAATTCTTAATTTTCCTATATTTCTGGCTATATGGAATGAGTTTATTCGGTTATTGCGTACTTATTATGGCCTTCTTCTCTTCTCCAAAAACTGCTGGATTAGTTGGAACAATGCTATTTTTCGCTCTATCTTTCGTGAACCAACTGGTGAATGATAGAACTGTCTCTGCTACTACCAAGAACCTCGCCTCAATCTTTCCTTCACTTGCTGTTCAGCTTGCAAGCACGAATTTGCTTGCTTATGAGGAAGCTGGAATAGGAATTTTATTTGGAAATGCAAATGAGTCATACCAAAATTACAAATTTGCTACGTCCCTATGGATGAATACGTTATCATTTTTCATTTTTACAATTCTTGGAATTTATCTTGAGAACGTCTTGCCTTCAACTGCAGGGGTACGTAAACCTCTATGGTTCCCATTTACTAAGTCATTCTGGTTTGATACTAAGAAGAATACTCCTGCTGAGGAAGAGGAAGCTAGCGTCTCACCAAGGAAAACAAGCAATAAAGTCCGAGACTCATCAGATCTTGAAGCCGGTTCTGAAGAATGTTTAGAAATAAGCGCAGATAACTTTGAAGAAGTACCAGAAAATCTTAGAAGGAAAGAAGATGATCAAGAGTTTGTGAAGATCTCCAATCTGAAGAAAAAGTTTGAAAAATTTTGGGCTGTAGATGGACTCAACAGTGAAATGTATGAAGATCAAATTTTTGCCCTTCTTGGACATAATGGAGCTGGTAAGACAACAACTATCAATATGCTTTGCGGTATGATTGCTCCAACAAGTGGGAAAGCATCTATATACGGATATGATATTACTCAAGACATGAAATCATTAAGAAAGATCATGGGTTACTGACCTCAGCACAATATTTTGTTCCCAAAGCTTACTGTTGCTGAACATCTTAGAATCTTTTCAGAATTTAAAGGAAAACCCAGATCAGAAATTACGGAAGAAATAGAAGAAATTTTAGAAGATCTGAACATGATAGATAAACGTGATGTACTATCAATGAATCTGTCTGGAGGATACAAGCGCAAGCTTTCCCTTGGCATTGCTCTTGTTGGTGGGTCAAAAATAGTCTTTCTCGATGAGCCATCAAGTGGTATGGATGTAACTGCAAGGCGTGAAATGTGGGACATGTTAAAGAAATACAAGAATAATAGAATCATCATTCTAACCACACACTACATGGAAGAAGCTGACAATTTGGGTGATCGTATTGGAATAATGTCTCAGGGTAAGATGCTGTGTTGTGGTAGACCAGAGTTCTTGAAGAACAGATTTGGAGAAGGATTCAATTTGGTAATTGTTAAGGAAGAGCGTAAAGACAACCATAAGCTTGAAGAATTTATACTAAATTCTATTGAGGGTTCTAAGAAAGTATCAGAAGTCAGCTCGGAAGCAACTTACTTACTTCCAAAAGATTCCACAAATAAATTCCCAGAGTTTTTCAAAGAATTTGATAGCAAATTGGGACATCTTAAAGTTAATTCTTATGGAGTATCTACAACAACTTTAGAAGAAGTTTTCTTAAAAGTTGAGAATTCGGGTAAAGAAGAAGACGAAAAAGTTATTGAAAAGATAAAAAAGAGAATGACGTCAGAGTATAATCCAGATTCAGAATATTCGATGGCTAAGGAGCAAATAGAAGGTCCAATTCAAATTTTCTTCCTACACTTGTGGGCTCTCCTTATCAAGAGATTTCTTCTGTCGAAAAGAAACATTAAAGGGCTAGTTATTGAAATCTTTGTTCCTTTTATTCTGATTCTAGCCGGATATTGGATGGCTACAGTGCAGTTTTACAAAGATTCTGCACAGAGAAATCTTGATCCAAGTTTATTCCCCTTAGACCAGAGAGTTATCTATAATACCTATACAACTGGAGGACATAACTCTGCTGATTTAATTAGTCTGTTAGATCCTTCAAGTAACTTTACAACAGCTGAAATAACTACTTCAGGATCAAGTGAGAGAGCTCATCTTCAAAATTTTGATGAACAAATTTATAATGCTTCTCTTCTGCAACCATTCTCACCATACAGATATGGACACTACTTCTTTAATTCATTAGACTACACTAATCATAGATATGAAGTAGCCACTTTGTTCAATACTACAAGCCAGGATGCAGCTGTTGCTTTTCCTCACTTTATCTATGAAGCGATACTCAAGAAATCTATCAGTTCTACTTTCAATTATACAATGATAAATGACCCAATGCCTATAGTCCAGGTCTATAAGGATCAGGAGAAAGGAGGCAATTCATTGTTTTTAGGTCTTGTTCTTTCTATTGGCCTTGCAATGATTCCTACCAGTGTCATTGGGTTTTTGATTCATGAGAGATCAAGGAACTTAGTCCATCAGCAAACGATTAGTGGAATGAGCAAGTTTTCATACTGGATTTCAAATTACTTCTTTGATATTATCAAAGTCTTTATTCCAGTCATATTTGCAATTATTTTCATGTACATTCTCAATGTAGACTATCCTTATGCTTGGCTATTGCTACTTCTTTATCCTTTTGCTATTGTTCCATATACTTATGTGACTTCCTTTATATTTACTGAGGAAGGGCCAGCTCAAAACTTTACTATTTTGCATCACTTTTTCATCTCAGGGTTTTGCCCAATAGTCATATTTGTTCTCAGGCTGATTAGATCTACTTCAGATTTTGGAGATGTTATCATGTGGTTCCCAAGATTCTTACCATCTTATAATACAGTTGGAGGAATTATTGTAATAGCAATGAAGGATCTATTGGCTAATGATAGAAAAGAAAAGGCTCCTGGGCCTCTCTCATTTGACGCTGCTGGAGGAGACCTCATTCTTTTAATCTTCCATGCATTCTTTTGGCCAATCATGCTTATCTTAATTGAAAAAGGATTCTTTGATTTTCTGAGAAAGAAAGGAAAATCCATTGAAGAAGAGGAAGAAATTCTTGATAATGATGTCCTTAAAGAACGAAATAGAGTAGAAGAAACTTCAGAATCAGAGCTTGCTGTTAAAGTCAGCCATTTAAGAAAAGTCTATGGAAACAATGTTGCAGTGAAAGATGTATCCTTTGGGTTGGAGTTTGGAGACTGCTTTTGCCTTCTCGGAGTCAACGGAGCTGGAAAAACTTCTACTTTCAAAATGCTCACTGGTGATATTGTTCCAACTAAAGGAGACTCATATATCTGTGGAAATAATGTTAATAGCAATTTCTCAGAAGTAAGAAAGCAAATAGGGTATTGCCCTCAGTTTGACTGTATTTTCGATATGATGACAGTAAGAGAGCATCTTGAGTTTTACACTAAGATCAAGAAGATTCCTAAAGAATATACTTCTAAATTGATCTCAGAACAGTTGAAGAGCATGAATCTAGAACAGTATGAGAACAAGCTTGCAGGAACATTGTCTGGAGGAAATAAAAGAAAGCTCTCAGTAGCCATGGCAATGATTGGCAATCCACCAGTAGTATTTTTGGATGAACCTTCTGCAGGCATGGATCCTAAAGCCCGAAGATTTATGTGGGAAGTCATTGCAAAGATTTCTACTAGAGGTAAAAATTCTGCTGTCATCTTGACAACTCACTCGATGGAAGAAGCAGAGGCTCTTTCAACCAGCATGGGAATTATGGTTGGTGGACAATTCAAATGCTTTGGGTCAAAACAGCACATTAAAAATAAGTTTGGAACTGGGTATCAAGTGGAAGTCAAATTCAAGGGACTAAACACCAAAGATGTGGAAAATAAAATTGAATCTATCGAGCTTGTCCAATTCCTAAGAGATAAGTATCCTGCTTCATGCAAAATTGAGAATATCAAAAATAATGAGGAAATAATGCTTAATGAAGAAGCTTGTCGAGCAGTATTAAAAGAATGACTCATCAGTCCTCAGACTTTGGATGAATTTAATGATGAAGGCTTTGGATATGAGATTTGCAAAGCACTTAAAGAAAGAGGATTCTATTCAGCAAGTGAGCTGATAAAATGGGAGCACATCACTAGAAATAATCTTGAAACAGTTAAAACACTAGGTAAAATTTATAAATTTTATCAGGCTCTAACATTCTATAGTATCTGAATTTGGAGAAGTTCAACTTGTTGAAAAGACTTACCTTAGGTATTCTGTCGAAAAGAAAGACAAGTCTATTGGATATTTCTTTGGACTTCTAGAAAATCTCCGCAACAAGCTAGATTTGGATGAATATTCAGTATCTCAAACAACATTAGAGCAGATATTTAACGGATTTGCAAGATCTAAGGACCATGAAATAGCTCAGAGAATATTTACCAAGCCAGAAATGGAGGATTCAGGAGGAGAATACCAGAGCTCCTCATCTTCTGATCGGATTTTAAAGAACTCCGAGAGCAGAAATAGACTAAAAAATTTAGTTCAGAAATCTGCAACTTCTGATCTCGCTGACGAAGAAGAATAATAATAAATTTAGAATTCCAATATTTCTGGTATTGAATGGGGTTTTGGGGTTTTGGGGTTTTGGGGTTTTGGGG